ATGGGGGTGGGGGGGGGGGGGGGGGGGGGGCTCCTGATTTGAAGACGGGATTTGCGTGTGTCTTTGAATTGGTTCTCCCATTAAAATCCATTAGCCTTGGGGTTTTGCATACTTTAAAAGAGTGTTGTGACAAAAAAAAAAGGATGAGATACACTGCAATATAGTTGCATTGCATTTCTATCTATATATGTTATCAATAGATCCAAAATCATTTAGAATTTAGGTATGATGTCCAAAATAGTATAGACTATTTGCAGTGGAGTATCATTAAACAGTGGACAGGAAGTGAACCTGTATTGTAAGGAGGACAGAAAATAAGCCAACCCTTTGTTATTGTTCACTATATAGATGAAATTACATACATTATCTGTTTCCTAGCATTGTGTAAAATCTGTCTCACAGAGCATATCTCAACAGATATCATCTTTTAAATATTATTCAATATGTATCTTTAGCCAAAACTTTTTTGTGGGAATAGTTAAAAGCTCCAGTTTGTTTGTTTTTTTATTTTACTGCGTTCCGAGTGATTTACCTTCAGTTCCTGTCCCAGAGACACATCAGTAAGTGAGTAGAAGTCCCTCTAAGAGGAAGAGGAAATCTCCTCCTGAGCTGGCCACACACAGTTAAATGTCATTTGAACATTTGTTCAAAACGGTTCGACACAGCATTGGATCTTGCCATTATTGAGTCAATGAATTTTGTTTCATAACCCTTAAACATTAGATTCAGATCTGCTACTAGAATGCAATCCTAGGCATGTTAAACAGGTTTCTTTTGTGTCTAAAACATGTGCATTACAATATGTATGATTTGTCCTGAACAAAAATCACATTCATGGTTAGAATTTTGATCGTTCAGATAAGAAATGTCAAAAAAAAACATTGATTCTCTAATAGTTATTGGGGTCTAATCAAACGAACAATCCAAAAACTAAAATATTCAAATGTTATTCTACTGGTGTTTGGCCAGCTTGATATTCGTCACTGGAATGACATCAAAGTTGGAAGATTTACCCTAACCTACTGCTTTGTAAAAGTTTAGCGTAAAAATACACTTAAAAACCCCCCAAAATATATCGTCAATCATTCAGGTGAAGGCAACAGCCAATATACAACGGCTCTTTTATACAAACATCAAAATAATTAAAGTTCATTGGCCCGTTTGTAATGAAGTAGTGAACTGTAGCTCTTGTGAATGTTGTAATTAAATAATTTTGCTTTCAACTGTTGAGTCCTGGGTTAATCACATTATTAGACAAGTACCCTCCATTGAACTCACGCAGTGCTGCCAAATAGGTTCTTGCAGAAGCACAGAAGACATCCTATCACCACCACACAATGCAGAGACTGGTTTTGTTGGCAGGAACAAACTTAAATTAATGAATTCACAAGGAACAAACGAAAAAAACAAAAGGCAATAAATACGGATATTATTTTTTTAATATCGATAGAGCTCTTCGATTAGCCTCTGGTTTTGCCACAAGTGATCTTGGGTTTTGTACAAGCATATTTGAAAACATTGGCATATACAATAACGGTCAAAAAAATCGCAGCGTGGTGAGATAATTACAACTGCAACAAGTCACTGTGATATATTCTACAAGATCGATCCATTTCTGCTTGTTGAAACCTGCACTCAAACATGGGGAAGTAGCAAAAGCTTTCTCAATGTATTCAAACAGAGATACTCCAGATAGTGGCCAGTCAACAGTATGAGGGGTCACCCACAGACACAAGCTTATTGCCCAATCTGTCCCAAATGGTTGGATCAGGCAACTCATGGTCTGTGAGTATCTATGGTATATATTAAGCTGGCCGTGCACTGCACGGATGGGAGTAAATTCAAGTCTTGCTGAAAACTCTTTGAACAGTGACTGCAACGTGCCAAGCATGGAAAAAAGGAAAAATGTTTGATTCCCCATCCATGCTAAAGCTCATGGAGGAGGAAAACATGCATTTTTCTCGTTCAGCTCGGACTAGTGTATGTTCAGCTTAAAGCAAAACAATTTTTTTTTTTTTAGTATAGAGTATGCAAGACTAAAACCCCCTGTTATTTTTGTATCCTTTGTACCATTAACTCCCTATTCAATAGATGCAAAAGGAAGAAAGAAGCAATATCTCCAAAGTGAAATGAAGCCTCTCTTAGACAGATGCCATCCAACAAAAATTAAAAGTGCCGCTACATTTGACTGAATTTTCCTCTGGAATGGGTGGGGAGTTCATGTTTACCATAAATAACCCTGTCTGTACTGTGCTGGCAGATCTTATTCTTAGTGCTTAACTCGATTTCAACGGTGCCCTAACAAAGGGTTAAAGACTTAAATTGGCCATCCACCAGTAGACTTCTAAAAAACTAGGGTTTTTGGAGTGTGGCTTCTGCATTGTATGTTAATGAGGGGAAGCTCAGAGTGTCCCTTGTCTTTTTATAGGGACGTAGAAAGTTTTCCTGTCACTCTAAAACAGTCTGTCCAAAGGCCTATTCCACAGAAACATCTAAAAAGGTAAGAAATATATTTTTTACATTATTTTTTAGATAGGCTGTGTATAATAGGAACACAAACATATAGCGGGGTGTTCTCAAATGTTCCTGCAAAAGTGGAAACACACAGACAAAGCGATATTAAATCCCTAATACATAGTAAGTATTTGATGACTTACTGTATGAGCTTTCTTTTATCACAAATTCCTGGAAACACGATCCAAACTCCTCCGGCACTCGAAGGGATATGACTTTCTTCTGAAGCTTTGTAGACTTTCGCACCAAAAAAGTCTGTGAACAGGAAAATGTAAGAGGCGGGGAATGAAAATACAGTCAGAGAATATTGTTATATGTAACTCACAATAACATCACTGTACATTTTATGTAACAAATTATGAAGACAAGTGTTCAGGACACATTCAAATGTAATACAAACTAAATATAGGAAAACCAGAAACAAGACATTTAAATAAATAAAGTTTTAAACATTTTCCAAGGATACATTTACCTTTAATACCATGTTACAACCATATTCAGGGTGTACATGGAACATGGTCACATTGCCAGCCCCCCTCCTTTTCCTTCACTTACCTGAATCACAGGGTTCTGCTTCCCCCAGGCTCCTGACCCTTTTGAATCTGGCACAGCACTGCATGAATTTACCTGCACAGCTGCACCATCCATTCACAGATCCTTTGACAGGATGGATAAACTACATGTTCCATCTGCCGCCACTCAATTGAGTACAAGTGTGATGATGTCACTGCACTTGTATTGCATTTTTATACTTCATCGTCCCTGTAACTGGAAATCTGTACCATGGTATGGACGGGACCTGGAGGAAGAGTCAAACAACCAGGAAGATTTAGGACCTCTGTCACAGTATTATTGTTGTTTGAGGCTTTGCTGGGGACATATCTGTATTTTCCTTTCCTGGTAGCAATATTGTAAGCTGTGACATAGAGTAAGGAACCATCTCCCGCAGAGACAGTATAATATAAGCTGGTGGGGGGTACACAGTACAATATTAACTGGTGGGGGTTCTAGCCTTCCCATACTTCACTGCTGTGTCTTTCTTATTGACTTTCCTACACTTTCTGGCTCGGTGACATGCTGTTACCAACATGACTTCAGAGATCGGTAAAACCTGACAGAGGTTGTAACTCTTCAACCCAAATGTAATTTTAAAAAATGGCTTCGGATGCACTTTCAAAGTAATCAAATATGCCACAGAGAACAATACATTATGAATTCACTTAAAAACAAAATATTTATTAGGGAAGTTACTATCATTGTAATGCAATTTCATATGCCATCATAGCAGCTATGAGTAAAAAATGGTGTATTCCCAAACACTGATGCCTGTAAATTAAAGGAGAACTATGGGGTTAAGGCTTTTCCCCATAGTTCTCCTTAGGGTAACGGGAGGACACAAACTAGCGTCCTCCCGTCACCCTAGGCTCAGTATACCGCGAGCTGTAGCTCACGGTATACTGAGACGCCGCAGTATACCGTCCATTTCGCCAGTCAGCGCTGGCGGATCGGAGCGGGGAGGGGGGAATCCAGCCCCTCCCCTGTCACGGCAGAGAGCCGTGACAGGATCGAGAGGTGAGCGAACTCCGGTATGTGTTCGCTCACCTCCCTATCTACTGAGTCAACCTGTGACAATTTCATTGTCACAGGTCGGCTAGAACTATGAGGTGAGTGAAAAGCACTCATCTTCATTGTTCTCCCTTAATAATTCAACTATTGGAAAAGCAGGTTTTGAATGAACAGCTTGAAAACCTTTAAAAAGCCAAAAAATACCAATCAGAATGAAATGATTTATTTGGTCGTGTTATATTCTGAGGTATACTGTACACTGCCCACTGATGGGATCCCATTTTCCATATAGTCACACACGTGAATAGGAAGACTGGAGAAATACCAGTCAGCCTCCTGTACTAAAGATAAGAGTACACTCTGAACTGTGACTCATATTTAACTCTTGTCACACTGCAGCAAAACCTGATGCAACTACAACCCAGCAATAAATGCAGTATTTCGAAATATGTTCACCTGCTTACCATATAGAGCCGTGGCGGTCAACTCTCCTGATATAGGGGGCCTCAAATGTGGCCACTGACATCACCATAGGGCCGCATATAATAATCAGTGAATGTAATACTACATAAACCTTTCTGAGACTGCTGACACATGTAACAGGAGATGGTCTACGACTATAGGTGAACTACAGGAGATGGTCAGAGAGTATAGACATGCTGTACAAGATGATGAGAAACTGTAAACATGCTTTAGGAGCTCTTGGTGACGGGTAACGTGCTTCAGGAGTCATACACTGGAGACACGTTACATGAGACCGCTGGAGATCACTGCCATTACAGGGAAATACGAAACACAGATTACTGTCTGCTAGGGCTGCAACAACTAATCGACATAATCGATTATAATCGATTATTGAAAATGCAGGGGTCCCGAAAACAAGCCAAAGGGGCCGCAGGTTGGGCACCTGGGATATACAGGCTTGAATTGTTTTTAAGGTAGGTGATGGCAGACAGTTTTTCAAACATTAGATGTCAGAGGTAAACACATAGAGTAACCCAGTTTTAGCCCCAATATACACCATAACTGAGATGATTAGTAAAAGTAGATTCAAACCCCAACTGAATAATACTTGTTTAATAAAGACCCATTTTCACTCTTTTATCCTTTGTTGCACCTCAGTGCTATATATATACTGCAGCCTTTCTGCTGGTGGAGGGGGGGATTATGGTGTGGGGTTGTTTTTCAGGGGTTGGGCTTGGCCCCTTAACTCCAGTGAAGGGAACTCTTATGGCATCCGCATACCAAGACATTTGGGACAACTTCACGCTCCCAACTTTGTGGGAACAGTTTGGGGAGGGCCCCTTCCTGTTCCAACATGACTGCGCACCAGTGCACAAAGCAAGGCCCATGAAGACATGGATGAGCGAGTTTGGGGTGGAGGAACTTGACTGGCCTGCACAGAGTCCTGTTTACATACAAGCGATCTGCCGGCTATAGAGGCGGCGGATGGCTTGTATAATGTGCCAATCTTGCGTGCTCCCCCCTCCCCCCACGCTGTTCTTGAGCTGGGACCAGCATGGTGGCTCTGTGACAGGGGATCAGAGGGAGATCGGTGCACAATCTCCCTCCGTTCCCCTCTCCGGTGTCAGAATGCGGAAGTGATGTACATTACATCGCTTTCGCATTCTCCTATCACTCTTGGATACCCCTGATGTCTCCATAAAGAGGCACAGCTCTTTGCTATCACATAGAGGTTTTCTTAGCCCCCTATGTGGTAACAATAACATTAAGTGAAAAGAAAATAGGGGGAAAAAATTAAAAGTTGCAAAAAAAAAAAGTTAAAGTCACACATGAAAAATAATTTTTTAAAAACCCACATGGTTGCGCCCATTACATATCACCGCGAACGTCGCAGTGAGAGCAATAATTTTAGGGCCATTAATCACTGATAACACTAAACTGATGAGCGGTAAAAGATTTGAAAATGTCACCTATGATCAATTTTGGGTACGGTAGTTTTTTTGCAATTTCACGGGTGCGCGCAATGTTAAGGCTCGACATGTCTGGTATCTATTTACCTGACGTGACCCCGTCTTTTATATTTTACAAAAAAATTGGGTAATAATAATTGTTTCCTAACATAAATGTAAACAAAAAAGTTTATTTTTTCAAAATTTTCAGTAATTTTTCCTTACTATAGAAAAAAATTAAAACCCCCAGTGGTGATTAAATACCACCAAAATAAAGCTCTATCTGTCCCCAAAAAATGGTATAAAATTAATTTCAGTACAGCGTTGCATGACGGAATAAATGTCAGGGAAAGTACTGCAGCGCTAAATACTGAAAAATGGCCTGGCCAGGAAGCGGGTGTAAACACCTGGTCTTCAAGTGGTTAATAAACAACTGTATCGGTTGTGCAAGTTTTCAAAAATTGCTTTTCATAGTTTCTAGGGTGGAGATTTCCTTGAGAGAAGAAATGAATGGCATGTTTCCAGTCCAATTCAACACACTCCAAGAGCACACAGAGCCAAGCTCTATTTGATCCTGTGATGCTCAGCACATTTCCAGGCTGCACAATCTCCTAGCTCAGAAGATTGATCAAAGTTTAGAAACATAAATCACTGAACGGTTCTGTAAGAACGTGCTTTCATTTAGCAAAACTGAGCAACGCTGAAATGAATATAGCTGTGCACCTTTCTCTACGAACACTTGTGCTGATTATATATAGAACCATCTGATATTAGCATTCCAATAGCTGCAGCTGTTGAGGGCCAGGAATGTCATACAGAGGATCCAGAGGGAGCTGTAACTTTATATAATGGACTATTGTTTCCAACTGTTAACATTTGCAAGCAACAGGTGCTAAGCCGGACAATCCTCCATATTTAACTGTATGTGTGACTTGCATGTGCTAGGATCAGTGTAAGGATACCTAAGAAGGACCTATTTGAAACCTGGATTTACTTATGAAGTGGGAAACGTTCCCAATATAGAAAAAGGAATCTATCATTTAACTTGAAGGGTATGTCAACCCTCAAGGTGCCCACACCTTGCGATAATCGCGGGAAATCCCGCGATCGTACGATTATCGTAAGGTGTGTGGAAGGCGTGCGACCTCTGCTACTGTAAGGTCGCACGACTTTTATCTTGGGAACATGTTCGAAAACCCGCCGAGAATCGTACAATTGTCGGCGGGTGTGTGGCATGTTCGTAAGATAAATGCCGCACGGGCCGGTGTGTGCAAGGCACACTGCCCGTTCAGCATTGCGGTCATCGGAAGCCCGCCACGCAGCGGGGCAGGCTTGCGATTATCGCAAGTACGATCTGCCTGTCCAAGCTAGGCAGATCGTAAGTTTTTTTTAATTACCTTACAACCATCGCAAGACAAAAGCTGTAAGGTGTGTGTCCAGCATCACAATGCACTATGCTTTCTTGGTCCCTTTCGGTCTGTTAAATACACAATTGAATGTGTTTTGTTATATCTGCTCGATAAGTGCAAAAAATACCTGTTAATCTTGCCAGAAATTTGGTCAGCTGATAACTTCCTGCACTAAATCCTTATCGGTTAAGCTGGCCACAGAAGGTTCAAATTTTGTCTGATTCCAGCTGAAGTGCATACAATTCAAGCCATGGCTGGCCAGGGGAAAAATATATTAGCCAGTGACCACATCCTGTCAGATGCAATTATTGTTTGGGTATTCAGGCAGCTGCAAGTGCTGTGGCTGTCTAAATATAATGGTCAGCAATGAAGATTCCTCCATCCACACCCTTTAGTGTGGATAGAGGAATCTACTGATTTTATTTTGCTGTATATGATTTCCTCTTGCTGTATATGGCTATCATTACATTGTCTGCAGCTATCTCTGCGGACTATAGAACCAGCCTTGCCCCCAAGTTATGGTAAGAGGAGAGGATGGGGTATCTGTAGTCATGTTATATGGTTGGTGACAATGTAAAGAAAAATGTAAAAAGACCTAAAAAAAAACAATGGAGCCACTTAGGGGAATGCCTAGCTTTTTTTCCGCCTGAGCTGGTGGGAAGGGGCGTCCTGCCGAGCTCCTGACAACCAGTGATGTCGCTGGTCAGGAGCTCGGAAGGACGCCGGCAAGAACGTCTCAGGTTGTAAAGAGCTGGGCAGAGAGATGTGTATGGCCCTTACACATCTCCCTGCTTGACCCCTAGCAACCTGGGACGCTTGGCCAAAAAGGTGGCAGCAAGCAAATTACAAACATTGTGCAGCAGAGTAGCCATGCCGCTCTTCCTGCTGCCCCCAAGAGAAGCTGCCTGAGCTGCAATCTATACGTTTTTGTTCCAAGGTTTTGATACACTTTAAAGCTAAACTCCAGGCAAACTGCTAAATACACAGAAGAAACACACATATGGGGGCTGTTTAACCTGCCAAATGATTTGAATTTCTATCCATCCAGTGCTGATTTACACGATTTACATAGCTGTGCTACACAGCACCGCCATGTCTTTCAAGACAGAAGACCTGATTTTTTTTTTGCTGCAGTTAAGTAATACTTACAGGTTTGGGGGGTGATAAGGGGATTAGTGAGGGTCATCATCCGCAAAAAAGGTGTATTTTATAGTGGTTGCCGACATTTGTAAAGCCATAATGTCCTGATTTTTTCCCTAACTGCAATCCCCTGGGGTTCTATGGGGAGAATAAACAGTATAGCTGATAGAAACAGCCCTGCCTTGTATATGGTTATATGTCAAATAATTGAGAGTGGTATCTGGCGTATTGCACTGTGGCAGAAGGGTTAAAAACATAAGACAGAAACCCATGATAAAATGGATTGAAATGTATAGAAGGAGACAACTGGGCTCATAAATAGATGGGTCAGATGCAGAGGGGAGAATGCTTTATATTAAAGGGCTATGAAGCTGCCAGGGCCCAGCCTTTTCGATGTTTTAAGGGATTTAATGGCTAATAGGACTTCAGCTTCACAGATGTCAGTATTGAGGGAGGCACAAGTGGTTTTAGAGATGGTGTGGAGAGTTAGGTGTTATCAGAGCAGATTTTTAAGCTTGTAGCTGACCACACACAGACAAAAATTTTCCCTACATGCCAAGGATTCCATAACTTCTCTGACACAGTTGAGTGGTGTGCTGGCAATGACCAACGATTACAAATGCATTCTGGAGAGGAGAATCATGCTTGAGGGTCAATCAGCCAAGTAGGAACAGTTTATATGAATGATTTAGTTATGACTCTCTGTTGTACACCCAACTAGTAGAATATTATCTTTTGAAGCTATGTTCATTTGTAAGCTGAATATTAGGGATGCACCTATATATCGGCCACCAAAACATATCGGCCGAAAATGGCACTTTTGGCATAATGTAAAGTGCCATTTTCTGGCCTATACAGCGGTGCATGCATTCTTTCTCTCCTCCCCGCTGGGCGCTGCTCTGTGTCCCAGCGGGGAGGAGAGAAACTGTAACAGGCGGCCGAGCGCTGCAGGAGGATAGCACTGTGAGCGGCCGGCGTGTGTCCTCCCCGCACCGCTCAGCCTCCTATCACAGATCGCCAGAGCGATGTGTGGGCGGAGAAAGCCAGCACTGTCAAAGCAGGCTGAGCTCCTCTCGCTCAGCCTCCTGTGACAGCGTGTCAGGAAGGAGACGATTGCAAACACTCAGCGATCAGTGATCGCTGAGTGTTTGTAAATAATTAAGGACATAGTATGGTTACTATATCAATTATGAATGAATGGGAAGTGATCTACATCACCTCTTGGTTCATTCATGATTGTAGATATAGTAAATACACTATGTTCTCATGTTATGAATGAACAGTAACACTCAGTATAGAGGATTCCTGTTCATTTATAACAGGGGCAGCAGAAAAAAAGATTGAGGACTCTGTGTCCTCAATCTCTTTTTCTATTCTAAAAAGGGAAATATCAGAGGTCTGTTTAGACCCCCAATATTTCCCCAATGCTCCTAAAAGTAAAGCATTTTTTTTTTTTGATAAAAAATGAATCTATAAATAAAAATAACTATAAAAAATTAAAAAGTTTTTAAAAAATAAAATATTAAGAAAATGTGAAAAAAAAGTTAGAATAAAAAACATTTTTGGTTTCGGCCTGACTTTTTTTTATTTCGGTTTAGAAATGTTCATTTCGGTGCACCTCTAGTGAATATTTAAGATTATTTTGGTGGAAAACACAAAGAAATAGAACTTCATCCTAAAAACTGCTGCTTTGGTCACCAGTAAACATCACTGCAGTATTTGTTACCAGAAAAGACAACACTTAAACATTTAGCAAAACAAGGTGAGTTGTACATACTGCGGGTGGCTGGTCCTGCAGGAGATCCCCAACGCTGTCATCGCCCAGACTAAGTTGAAGCCAGACGGGGTGAGTGTGGAGAAGCTTATCCAGGATGCTGGGCTTGTAGGCTACACTTTCATATCCGGAGTCTCGAAGGAAAGCTTTTTTCTCCAACAGTATGTTTTTCTCCATCTCTTTCTCGATACTGTGGGACAGAAATAACAAACATATTAAATCTCCCTTCACTGCAAACAATGGCAACCCATAACATGTACAGATTTGGTCTGCGCATCTAGTGTAACCAAAGTGGCAAGCGTGAAATAAATCGTTTCTGCACTAAAAGCAGTTCTGGTGCCAGATGGAATATAAACAAAAACAAAAAAACAGACAACAATAGTGGAGCTGGTGCTTTCTGAGCTGCCCTTGGGTTTAAATCAACTGCTGCTTTAGCATGTTGGCAGTAAATATCTTTATTGTAACTCGCCCTAGATTTCTGTTCATTTTATAAACAACCCCCAGTAATGGCTTGGCGCACAACCACTTGGAATAAAAGTAATTTAGTTTATTAGTACAAATCTATCTGAAAATACCAACAACTATTAGGGATCGCTATACAGCATGCTGTTTTCTTTTGTTTATAGCACCTGCTCACATGGAAGGTGATTTGAGAGTTTTAAATGCTGTACCCATTTTATAAATGCCATTCTGTGGAGGGACAGTCATATTATAACAAAAAATAAACAATAAGGTGATCTGCGCCAGTAAGTGTAATGTGGAAATAAGAGCTGCCAAGCACTAAGGATATAACTAAATATCTGGAAACAATATTGTGCCGAGCTAATAATCATACACATCTAATAAATTGAAACATATATAAATGAGTCACATATATGAACCTTCAAACAAATGAGGCATAGAAAATATCTACACACAGACAAAAAAGAATATAGACAAAAAGAGTCTCAGGAAAAAACAAAAGCAAATAATGGTGATTGTGCAAGAATATTCCTCAAATGATTCGCAGCCAATCTGCATGTAACTCTCAGGTAAGGATAATCACACAATGCAGGCAGACCTTCACCACCACCCAGTGAGTGATGACAACAAGTATCCATCCCAATAACAGTTTATTGGGATGGATACACAAGGAACAGTGACAGAAGAGCTGAAATGCTTACCTTCCTGGAGAAAATGCTGCTCCACGTTTCCTCCAGTGTTACTCACAAAATCAAAAACATTTAAAAACATTTACAGGGTTATTCACTAAGCTTCCAAAAGGCAGCCGAGTGAATAACCGAGCCGAAGTGAACAGAGCCGAATGACGTTCAGCTATTCACTCCGGCTGATTTCAGCCGCACATTGGCTGAAATCAGCCGTACATGGGTTGCCTTCGGTCAGCCGAACATGCTCTGCATGCTAGGCTGAGCCAAAGTGCAGAATAAGTTAAGACTCAGCCGATCCAACATCTGGATCAGCTGAGCCGAAGCTCCTATTCATAGGGGCCAAACAGCAGTGAGTAAATAGCCGCCATTCTGCTCGGTACCTCTGTGGTACCGACCAGAATAGAAAATAGTGAAAATAGTAGAAGAAAAAAAAAAGGTTAAAAAAATATTTTGAAAATGTAAATAAATAGCAAAATTAAAAAAGAAAGATTATTTAAAAAAAGAAAAAAAACACAATTGGGCGGAGCTAGCAGTTACAGTTGTTACTGTTTGCCTGGTTGTTATTGTTTAATGACAGATCAGCGTCCCCAGGTCATTTGAGGATGCTGATCTGTCATTACAACTGGGCGGAGACAGCCGTGAGATCACAGCTGGCTACGCCCGTGAGATCAGCTGTCATATGCGGGCGAGAACAGCCGGCCTTCGGCAGGCCGTTCGCCCCGCTTCGGCTCAACGCCAAAGAAACTAAAAGAAAAAACTAGGGTTCCCCCCTAAAATTCCAAACCAGACCTTAAGTGGAAATGGGGGGTAGGTGAGAGTGCCTGCCCCCTCACCATACCAGGCCACATGCCCTCAGCATTGGGAAGGTGCTTTTTTTTATCCTTTAATTGAAACAGAAGTCAGTTTTTGGCAATTCAAGGATAAAAAAAAAAAACCCATAAAAAGCCTCCAACAATGCAATCCAAAAATCAATCACATAGTCCAGTGCTGTAATCCAACGTCAATCACAATGAACCACTCCCGCCAACTTGCCAAAGTGCCGCCACCCCCCGACTGGACCGCTACCGCCGAACTCTCGCCACAAATGACAGCTCCGGGCCGAATGTAAACAAATAAGCAGAGCAAGTTGTGACGCCATGGCTCACTCCACCCATTTGTTTTCATGCCATTTGAGGACAGTGAGCTGTCATGGCATGAAAAAAAATGGGCAGAGCGCATCGTGACATCGGATTGCAATGGAACGCATAAAAAGTGCATGCAAATCTGCTGGATTGCACCTGAAATGCAATTTTAAGCAAAACAAAAAACAATGCATCAATCGTGGTAAAATCGCAGCAAAACGCATCGCAGCACACACAGTTTTGGTGTGAACTTGCCCTTAAGCTACTTTAAAATGGGACTTTAGAAATTTTCCAAACATTAGTGTCTTATTAAGTAGTGTTTAATTAATTCCATGTTGATGGAACTTGGACATAAGTCGCAGTTTGTACTCTACAGCCTCTATATTGCACACTCTGTAAACTTAATGTGCGATTCTGACAGCAATTCTTTAGTAGGGTGTTGATGTCTGAGCAAGTGCACATTCCATACCACTGCCAAGCTGTGTAGCAATGCAGCCTGGCTGCCTGTCGCCTGAACTAATGGTCTGTACTACAGGAAACAACAATCCAATAAAACAAGGCTGTTAATGGGCTTGACAAAAAATGCAGGTTTGGTTCTAGCTGCCACCAGCTAACAGATGACTGATTCTACTTTGCAAACAGCAGTGTCTTTATGGTCATCACTACAACATCAGAAATAGTTTTCTACTAATATACTCGTTATCTTGTTCTCTTTCTCCCCCTACTGGGCACACAGATTATGAACTCAGAAATCAAATCGCTGTACAAGTTAGGTAAGCCTATCTCAACCTTTTTATACCACAGGAAACCTTGAAGTAAATTTCGGGTCCGGGAGAACCCTCCTGGGAAAAAAACCCTCATCAATAGTTAGTGGGGGGAAATGGTGGTTAGTGGGAAGAATGTGGGATTACATTAGTGGTTAGTGGGAAGAATGTCCCCCTTCAGAGGTAATTAGAATGCCACACTTGCAGACAGATATAA